TTTTATTTAGACTATGGAATTTAAGATTTGTATTTATTATTTAATTGTTTGTTTGTATAGTTTTTCATGTAGGCATAAAGTCATGGGTCATCCCAGGTTTTACAAGTTCCATTTTACTTTTGTTTTATTCATTTCTTTTAAATGTCAAAAATATTTAGATAGGGATGTCTGACTTCTATTTCTAATATTGTTGAAGAAGCTTTTGTGCTGTCTCCACCTGGTTTTAAATTCATTTTTTGTAGACCCAATATAGATCATATTGGTGTTAGGACTCTCAATGAATGAGATAGTGCATTGGTCTACCACAGATTTTACGCGGCATATATTTTCCAACAGGCAGTCCGCAGGGTTTCTACAATCACATAATTTCTCATCATTTTCGTCTAATTTAAGTTTAGGGTTCTTATTAATACTATTTTGGTATGCATGTTTTTCCAGGATTTTATTATTGTTTTTTTTTTCTTTCTAAATTTTTATTATTGTGTTTTATTATTGTTTTTTTTTCTTTCTAAATTTTTATTATTGTGTTTTTTTTCTTTCTAAATTTTCAGTGCAATTGTAACTTAATTTTAAGGTGTTTTTATTAAGGATTTTGCTAAGTCTGCTATTTGTAAGAAAAGTGTTTTTCAATTAAAGCTAGGAATTTATATCCTAGCTTAATGCTAAACATTTGGTTGAACGGAGGGGTATACCAAATGATTTTTCTTTTCCTGTTTTTCTTCTGGTTAGTACTATTGTTTCTATAATTGATGTTAGCATTTTTGTATCCACTGTTTTTTAGAGCTGTGTTATAGAAATTACTCTGTTGTTAGAATATTTCTTTATTAGTGGAGTTCATGCTGATTCTTTTCTCTATTGATGACGGTATATGCTTAATTATGGATGGAGGATGGTTTGACTTAGGGTATACATACAAGGCATTAAATTTTCTATAAGATAGGTATATGTTATTTATTAAATCCAGAGTTACGTCGAGGAAGTTTACCCTTTTTGTATTGACTGTAGTTTTTAAATTAAGTTTTCTGAATTCACTATATATAATCTTTCTAATTTTATCTATTTTAAAATTAGTGGAACTCCTCACTACCATGAGCCCATCATCTCTGTACAGTCCAATGTCCTTATATATATATATATATATATATATATATATATATTGATAGGCTCTCTCTCTCTCTCTATCTCTCTCTCACCACCACCTCATCTTTTCCTCCCTCTTACTCTAACATTAGATTGTCTATGGTGTGTGTATGTCACCACGAAATGTATCTTTACGCATTAGACATCCGACAACATTCATTTTTCTCTTACTTAAACCCCTTCCACCCACCTCTCCTAAAATTTTCTCTGTTAAGGTTTAATCTCCTCCTCCTCATGCCTTACTCTCTCTAAATTCTGTTTTTATTTCGGAGTTGTTTTTTTCTGTTTTCTTTTTTGAATTTGCAGGTCTGATGAACTGGATCGTATTCTGATTCAATGGAATAAATTATGACCATGGAATATTAGTGTTTAAGCTTTTTTTTATATATATATATATATATATATATATATATATATATATATATATAATATCAAGGAGGAGAAAAGAAATACAACAAATGCTGTTTATAATTTTACACTGAAAACATTAAGCACACAGGTATACCCAACTTTTTTTGACATCTATTTAACTTAGCCAATCTCATTCAGCTTTCTATTGCTTTTGTTATTATTACTATTGTTTCTAAATAACCCACATTGTAATAGCAGTCGTTTTGTAAGGAGATATGCTATATGACTCTGGATATAAATTTACTAGAGATGATTATGATATTAGTACACTTTCAATAGATTTTTCCTTAATCAATTACTTTCTCTTTTTATTAAGACTCCATTAAAACCGAACTCTTAATCGAATATATTTCAAAATTTAAATGCAATGTCAATCATTATCTTCTGTCTTCTTAATTCCTGTTTTTTTTTTTTTATTGTTCTCTCTCCTTAATAATGTTTCCTTTTCCTCTTATACTCAGTAAACCCTTGCATCTTAGTGGCTTTATTACTTTGCTTGGGATGAAAATGATTTTAAAAAGTGTGTGTGTGTATATATATATATATATATATATATATATATATATATATATATATATATATATATATATATATATATATATATATATAAAGACAAATTGAAAGACAACTTGAAACTTTGATATGAAAACTTGGGAAGCCCAAGCATCAAATTGAAAGGAGTGGTGTAAGACATGTTTCATTAAGTTAATATTATGTAATATTTGAAAGTAATGAAGAAGAATTGCTGAAAATTGTGGAATTTAACAAAATATTATAAGAATTAAAATAATGGTATTGTTACTGTAAAGAATGTAGGCATAAAAGATCATGAGAAAAGAGCATAAGAACTTAAACAAAATACTGACATTATATATATATATATATATATATATATATATATATATAAAAAGAAACCAATTTTAAAGATAGAAATTACTGAGAAGAAAAAAAACAAAATTCTTACATTTTACCACAAAGATGGAATCTGATAAGAGGCTACAAAAAAAGAAAATAGTCAAAAAGATAACAAACGATGTAATAAAAAGTGAGAGCTTTTTAATGCAAAGAAATTGACTTGTAAACCAAATCAAGATACAACACAGCATGGCATTATAGCTTGAAGTTGATCAAATCAGGAAGTATTAAAAAATATCCACTCAAATAGGTAATAAAAGAAAGTAACAAACTGAGATGGGGTAAAATAGTAAGAAATGAAAAGGAGAAATGAAGAAAAACAATACATACAAATTGTCAAGTATGAAAAATGCCTTTTGTAAAAGACAAATAAAGAATTTAGAAAACAACCAGGTAATCTTATTCATATCCATAAACGCAAATAATCTTTATCTAATAAATAGATACATTTTTCAAAGATAAAGTATCCAAAAATTAAGCCAGTCTAAAAAAAAAAAAAACAACAACAAAAAACTCATCACTCATTAGAAAAAATAAAAAAAAAATATATTCAAATTTATTTAATTTCACTATCAAACAAAGTTATGGATGCATAAACAGTGTTTATTTTTTCAAGCACTTGAATCATATGTTATTTTGCCTGGGTTCACTAATAATTGTAAAGGCTGATTTTCAATTGGTTGTAGGATGTTGAATGGATAGCACTAACTACACCAGTAACTCAGGTGCATATTTTGCACAAATCCATAACCACCTTTTATTCATTATCATTAACACATTACATAAAGATGTGAATGTAAATTGAAACCATTCAGCTAAAGCTTGGAGTGTATCCCACCAAAACACCCTAGCAATTTTTACAAAAAAAAAAAAAAAAAAAAAAAAAAAAGAAAAGAAAAAGAAAGAAAGACATCTATTTTAAATGAAGAAATAGATCCAAAAGATGAAGAAGGAAAAAAAAATGAAATGTAAAGAGTTGTCAAAATTAGAACACTGGCAACTACCAAAAGCTGACAATATCTTTATGGAAAGGACTGAACAAAAATGCAGAAATGCTAGTGTTATATGCAAGAGTCAGTCAGCTGATTGCTTATTCAGTTGGTATACACAATGTCATTTTTAAACAAATAAACAGTATTCCCAGACTGCTGGGAAAAAAAAACAAACAAAAAAAAAAAAAAAAAAAAACTCATTGCTAGAATGGTAAGGTACTTAGTTTCTAAGAATTTAGATACTGGAATCTGGGCAAAAGAATCTCCAAAAATAAATATCCTTGAGATTTTAGACAAAGTTGAAATAATTGCTATGTATCTTAAGATATAAAAATAAAGTGTGTCATTTTCATAGTACAGAAAAAAAAAAAAAAAAAACAGGCCCAACTCTCAAAATCTAGCTAAACTCCAAAGTTTTTAAAAAAAATTTCTTCCTCTTTGGATCAAAAACATTTGAGCATGTTTTAATAACATACTATTTAACATACTAATTAAAATATCTAAAAAGAAGTTTCAATGGGAATTTCTTCTTCAAAACTTTGGCTAAAAGAGAAAAGAAGAAGTCTTGTAAACAAAAGATTATATCCTACAACAACATTATAAAGAGCCATGATTAACAAGAGCAGAAAAGTCAGAACTATCAACAAGTCATCATTAAAATTATTAACACATTAATGGCTACTGTAAAACCTGGAAATAATTATAAAATTTAAAATAAAAATCCTGTATTAATTATAGGTTTCTATCAATAATGCCTGGTGTCCCAAAAATGGGATAATGAGCATTATTGGAATGATATTATTCAAACTCAAGGATAGAATATTTGGTAGTTCAATATAATTTCTACTCAACAAATGTTAACCCAATTTAATCATATGTATACTTACATACTTAAGACTGAGCAAGTAACAATTGTGATTGCTATACATGTTTGTAAGCAGGATTTACTTGGGTTAAAATCAGTAATAACTTTACATTTAATAAAGCAAATTCTCGTATTTGTAAAAGTTTCAACTTTTGATTAAATTCAACACTAAAAATAAAATTTAAAATTTTGATATATCAAAAACCAAAATGATTTTACAGATGTGTAAAAAAATCCTAAAATGTATTTACTATTTTGACTGTTTTAATTTTTTATCTTTTTTAAATGAAATGTCTGGCATATAAGAAAAGGAAAAAAAAAGACTACTTTACCACAAAAGAACTGAACACAACTGAAGAGGCAAATTAAAAAAAGAAAATGATAAAAATCATTGTTTAGTAGATGAAAAGTAAAGAATTTTGTACTCGTAATCAAGAAACAATAAAAGCCATGATATAAAAAAAAGAAAGGCAGAGGTTAAAGAGTTTTTAAGTGTCAAGTAAAGTCTAATTGCATTCAATATAATTTTGAAAAAGAAATGAAAAGTTAATACTGTATTTAATATGAAACTTCAAATTCTATTCTAAAAATAGAAAATGACAGCTGAGCCAGGAGTTTCTTGTCTCTTTGCAACCTTTAAATCCAGAATACAGTCCCTAAAAATTCTTTAAGATCTTCTACTTTAATGACAAGTACTCTATCCCATGTTGGGGGCGAGAGAGTGTGAAAGGAAAAGATCTAAACATAGGAGAAAGAGGGTTAAAGAGTAAACAAAAATGTAACAGCAGAAAAAATAAATAAACATGAGGTAAAAGAAAAGAGGGTAATAAATAAAAGAGAGTGTGAGAGAAAAATTGAGAGCTGTAAAGAATAAAAGAGAGAGTGAAAGAAATATACAGGGCTATAAAGAATGAGAGAGAGTGAAAGAAATATACAGGGGAGTAAAGAATGAGAGAGAGTAAAGAATGAGAGAGAGGGTGTAAAGAATGAGAGAGAGGGTGTAAAGAATGAGAGAGTGTAAAGAGAGAGAGTGAGAGAGGGTGTAAAGAGAGAGAGAGTAAAGAGAGAGAGAGTAAAGAAAGAGAGAGAGTAAAGAATGAGAGAGAGTAAAGAATGAGAGAGAGAGAGAAAGAGTAAAGAATGAGAGAGAGAGAGTAAAGAATGAGAGAGAGAGTAAAAAATAAGAGTGAAAGTGAAAGAAAAATAGATGACCGTAAAGAATAAAAGAGAGAGTGAAAGAAATATACAGGGCTATAAAGAATGAGAGAGAGTGTAAAGAATGAGAGAGAGAGAGAGTGTAAAGAATGAGAGAGAGAGAGAGTGTAAAGAATGAGAGAGAGAGAGAGTGTAAAGAATGAGAGAGAGAGAGAGTGTAAAGAATGAGAGAGAGAGAGGAAGAATGAGAGAGAGAGAGAGAGAGGAAGAATGAGAGAGAGAGAGAGGAAGAATGAGAGAGAGAGAGAGTAAAAGAATGAGAGAGAGAGAGAGGAAGAATGAAAGAGGGAGAGAGGAAGAATGAAAGAGGGAGAGAGGAAGAATGAGAGGGAGAGAGGAAGAATGAGAGGGAGAGAGGAAGAATGAGAGAGGGAGAGAGTGTAAAGAATGAGAGAGAGAAAAGTGTAAAGAATGAGAGAGAGAGAAGAAGAAGAGAGAGAGAGAGAGAGAGTGTAAAGAATGAGAGAGAGAGAGAGTGTAAAGAATGAGAGAGAGAGAGTGTAAAGAATGAGAGAGAGAGTGTGTAAAGAATGAGAGAGAGAGTGTGTAAAGAATGAGAGAAAGAGTGTGTAAAGAATGAGAGAAAGAGTGTGTAAAGAAAGAGAGAGTAAAGAGAGAGAGAGAGAGTAAAGAGAGAGAGAGAGTAAAGAAAGAGAGTAAAGAATGAGAGAGAGAGAGTGAAAGAAAAATAGATGACTGTAAAGAATAAAAGAAAGGGTAAAAGGTAAATAGGGAGAAGTGAATAGAAAAGAGAGAATAAAGATGAGCAGGAAAAAATAGAGATTAAATAAAATAAAGTATGCAAAGAGAAAGCTCAGGATGTTGTAAAAGTCTGTGAAAAGATAAAAAAAATTGTGGAAAGAAGCAATGAGAAATGTGTGTGAGAGAGAGAGAGTTAGAAAACCTGCATGAAAGTACATATGTCACTAAGAGGGAGAGAGGGCAAGAGGATGCCCTCATCAGCACAGGACTCCTTGTCAACCGATGTGCACACATCCTAATGGGTATTAAGATTGACTGACAATTTTAATTCAACTAGATTAACCTTAGTCAAGTAAAGTTTCACTGATTGTTATACAATATGACATTCTGTCAGACCAGGTTTTTGTACTCTGCTTGACTTTACATTTCATTATTGCTTTTTATCATCTTGGCCAATTACATTTAGAGCAATTGTAACTGCTATGCCGATAAAAGATTAAATACAAAGAAAATTTAAAGATAAACGAATAAATATATGCCCAAAGCAGCCATTTATGTTTAAAGCATTCAAGTAAAAGCCTACATTGTAAATATGTGCAGGGGGTGTGAAAGAATGAGGAATGGGTAAGGAGGGAGATTAAAAATTACAGTAAAGAAATTACTAAAGATATCATTTCTTACAGAATTGTTATAAAATGTATCAGTGAGCAAAGGAGTAATTTTTATAGATCTTTCACAGATTACACAGATGATTGATAAACATAAACAAACTTGGAAATAAATGTTTAATGTCTGGTACAAAATAACCATAGCTCTTTTGGAAACACTAGTTATGATGTCCAGTGAAAAGAAATATTACAAGTCAATTAATTTTGATGTTCTAATGTTTTTTTTTTTTTTTTTTACTTAGTGGATTGCTGGTACAGTTCTCAAGGCATGCAAACAGTATTATTTCAGACCAAGAGTTTTATATTTTCCTACATATTTCATATAGGTTTTATTCTAGGAAGACTACAATAAAAATTAACCCTTTATAAGAGGAATTTCTAATACAAGGTTTAAGGTGATAATGACGACAACTGACTCTAGAGTAAATAAGAAAAACTACAGGATGTTTCAGAAAAATTGATGACATTTTGTAATCTAATAACTTCAATTCTCGTTCAAATGATCTAAAATTTTACCATGTGTACAAACAACTCAAAATTCTATGTTTAATGTTTTCAGTTATAGAAATGCCATTCACTGGGGGGAAAAAAGCCATTTTGTATGTTAGAGCATGCTCATATGCAATCAAACAAGACTGTGCAGTGTGCATTTGTGAGAAAGAAAACTCATTAAAAATGCATGTCTGGAAAATGACAGTTTGGTTGTCACAAGGAAATACTTGTGAATAACACCCTGCAAGCAGGCAGTGCACATATCAAAAACTTGTGAAATTGTTCATGAAATCAAGATAATTTGAATTTCTCATTCAAACTTTGATGAATAAAACTTATTTTGCTCAACAATAAGCTTTTTTAGTTTCATTGGCCTAGACTATGTAGTCACTCAAATATCTACATCTCAATTTTTTTTAAACACCCTATATAACTAATAGTGAATTTTAATAAAATGTATAAATATTGCGAGATTATTCCAAGTAATAAATAGTTAAAAAAAAAAAAAAAAACCTGGGTATTTTGGAACTTACCAGACTTGCTGCTAATGGAAAGGTAACTCTGGTTTTATATGTTTTTCTTTTTCAAGATATTAAAATGATTTATGTTCAACAGTTATGAAGGCATCTCATATGACCTGGTCATCAATTAAATAATGTTACCAAGTTGAACAAATGTACCAACACAATTTTTTCAGTAAAACAACGAATGAATATTTTTGTTTCTTGAACCAACATAAACTTTGATTCAGATAATTTGACCTCATCAAATACTATTTAACTAATTCAGTTATTTTCCCTTCCCAAACTTAATGGACATTACATTGATCACCATTTATTTCTAAAATACTACACTGATTTTAGGGATGAATTTTAGTAATTATTTCAAAACATCAGGTATTGCTTTCTTCCAAGCAAAATATTGGACAATTTTTAAAATGTAAACATTAAGTAAAAATGAATACTTTTTTTTTTTTTTTTAACATTTTGCTTGTTCAAATCAATCAGATGTAAAAATAAAATTGATACTGCTCAAGATAATGCAGATAAAGAAAATGTTATTAAAAAAATTCACATGGACAATCGAGTCAAGGATTGTCTTAGTAATAAATTAAGAATTTAGTTTTAAAGAATTCTTGTATTTTGCAGTAGTATTTAGCTTGTAATGATTCATCTTTTGTTCTGATTACGTCAGTCCACAGGAAGATGGATATTTGCAAAATCATGAAAACTAAAAGTGACTAAACATTTCTTCAAATGCCAAAAATATGTTAAGCTTTGTAAACAAAAGTTTCAATGTCTTCCAATGCTGGAAAAAGGCCAAAATAATTATTCTAAGATTATTTATCTCATTACATAAGCTGTTTCAATCAGATAATGAGTATTTTGGAGTTATTGAAGCAATGACGGGAGAAGATCTGGACTTCATTAAAATGTAGTCTAAACAAAAAATACATTCACAATTATTTAATTGTTTTTTTAATCTGCTTAAGCTATTTTAGCATTTCCAATTAATTTCCTAAACTGAAGATCATTAAAAATTACAAGATACAGAAAATAGGCTATTGATATATATGAGATAAAAAAAAACAAACAAAAAAAAACAGAGTTCTATACCTATTCCATTATGACATTAAGAACACAAATCTTTCACATATTATGATATACAAGAATTATGATTAAAAGAAACTCTGTTTCAGAACAAATTAATAATTCATCACAGATCATGTTACCTGCAGTTCAATGCATTATCACAGAACTGGCTTAAAATGTACAAAACAACATCAGTAACTAATGTTAGAACATAAACCCAGGTATATTGTCTATTGGTTTTGCTCAATGGAATTAAGATTCAACAAAACAGAACTTGTTCAAATACATTCATCATTATAAATTAAAGTATCTGCAGTGTTTTTATTGATCTTTGGATTGTATGAAAAATAAAATGTCTATTTATCTAGAAAGTCCATTTATGTAGTAATCAGATTTTGACCAATGTCTAACAAGGAGCTCTTAGAGATAAAATTGTTGAGTGCTGTCATACAAGCAAGTCACCAAAGAAGCAGGCTGGCTGGGTGGCTCAACCAGTCAGATAGCTAACTGAAAAGCTGACAAGATCTAAGGCCATAATCAGATGTAAAATGAATCCCAAGGAACACCTGATGTCAGACCGTCACATGACAATTAGCAGGCAATTGCATATAGATTGATCATTTTTGTACACCAGAAGAGAATGTTCTATGGCTTAGGAAAGAAAAGAGGTGGAGAACATAGTATTGTGCAATAACTGTAATTACTGACTAAGAACAAATACAACATGACTGCAGATCATTGGACACTCTAATACATTGTGTAAGCCAAATTATGTGATGTGATAGAATCCTGGGGTTTGAAGAATAAAGAAAGAAAGAAAAAAAATGAAAGAAAGAAAACAATTTTCATCAGAAAATAGAGGGAAGCAGATGGCCAGTCACCCAACTGCAGAAATAATGCTGGTAATAATGGTAGTGATTAAAGAAAGGTTGAACTGAAAGAAAAGGAAGTCGAATGTAGAAGAAAGAAGGGACCATTTTGTCAACAAGACAAATTTGTATGTATTCAACCATGGCTGACAAACTATTAAATGATACAAAAAAATAAATAAATATATAAATGAAACAGGATTTTTAAAAATGGACACATTTTTCACCATAAAAATGTTGAAATGGCCAAGAAAATCACAAAAAATGAGTAGACGAGGATTTTGTTAAAAGAATATTGAAGGTAAAAAAGCAAGATTATAGGGAAATAATTAAAATGTTAAAAAGCAACAAGAAAAAAGACAGGGGTATGTATGAACAAATATAAGCAAAGAAACGAACATCAAAATCCATAGTAGATTATGGAAATATGACCTTTTTAAAGTAAAAAAAATGGGTAATAAAAAAAAAAAAATATTAAGCAAGCAGACACCAGGGGAGAGTGGCATAAGAAAGAACTATGGGAGCTTGATTGCACAAAGATGACAACAGCAGGCAGAAACCAACATGTGCAACCATTTGGTGAAAGGATAAGAACAAGTGCAAATAAAGCAATCAAAACAGTGAGAATTGATAAAGAAATTAATATTTCATTTTCTATTGAAAAAAGTTCACATTGTATTTTTTTGTCCTGCTCTATTATTATAGAACTTTGAAAACAGAACAAAAGAGAGAGAGAGAGAGAGAGAGTTCAATGTTGTTTCTTTTCTTCTTTATTCTTCCATTCTGTCGAGTTGATTGTAAATTCAAAGGTACAGTAGACTGACACAGCCCAACATGTGTATACAGGCACATTTATCCACTGGGAAACATCAAGGTTAATAGAAACAAGGATCAAATGCTGACAACAGAACTCAAACACTACTATCATATAACAGTGACATTTTTTATATAACTAAACAAATTATATATAATATAATGGCTTGAAGAGTGTGTTCAAGCAGAAAACAGAGTGTTGACCTCAGTATCCTCTTTTATATTTACATATGCTCTATCCATGATTATTAAGCACTTTTACTCATAATTACAGCACACCTAAAACTATATATATATATATATATATATATATATATATATATATATATATATATATATAAATTTGTGTATTTATGCAGCAAATTCTCTTTTAGGCATGTCTGACGGAATAAATTTAGAAACATTATATCTGCTTATTTTTGATCATAATCCTTTGAGGCAATATATTCAATGTAAAAATTTTTTCCATTTAATTACAATAAATGAAAAAAATATTCGTGAATATGAAAGGATTATGATCAAAATAAGTAGACACAATGTTTGTAATTTATTCAATCAGATTATATATATATATGCCATATTCTATCAGTAATGTTTGCATACTTTCACATCCACTGACACTCCATTTCACCTAGTTTTTAATATATAACATATAGAGTGAGTACCAAAACAAATGTCAGAAATTGCTAAATTCAATTTTTAGTCTTTATTCAAATTTTCCCAATCACCAGAAATAGTTTGTTAATCTAAGAAATAAAGTTAAGCAGAAAAGTGGTGGAGTAGC